AACAATCAAAAAAAAAAAAAAAAAAAAAAAAAAAAAAAAAAAAAAAAAAAAAAAAAAAAAAAAAAAAAAAAAAAACCACCTGTGTCTTATGGGATCATCATGGAGTAAAGTTAGAATTTAACAATAATACCACCCACAGAAAGTCTACAAACTCGTGGAAACTGAACAGTCAACTACTGAACCATCCTTGGGTCAAAGAAGAAATAAATTAAAGTCTTCCTTAAATTCAATGAAAATGAAGACACAACATACCCAAACCTATGGGACACTATGAAAGCAGTGCTAAGAGGAAAGTTCATAGCACTAAGTGCCCACATAAAGAAAATAAAGAAAAGCTCACATTAGAGACTTAACAGCACACCTGAAAGCTCTAGGGAAAAAAAAAGAAGCAGACTCACCCAGGAGGAGTAGAAGACTGGAAATAATCAAACTGAGGGCTGAAATCAACAAAATAGAAACACTCCCCTCACCTCCTTGTCCCTGCTTCTCTGGTGTGCCCACCAATGGATTTTAGCTTGCCTTGCTACAGAGTTTTATATACACCTCTTCTTTTGTAATCACTTGAAGGAAATCTTAGATTTCATGCACTCTCTCGCCCTCTATAACACTGTTTGGGTCAACCATAAATTGTGCAAAGGTAGTCCCATAGGTTATAACAGAATTTCAGAATTATCCCAGCATGGTGACTGCCACTGATTACAAAGGAGGCTTGAGGGATGGCAGTGTAGTGGGACATTTAGGAGCATTCACAGGAACAGTCATTTAAAGTTGAAAATGTGGGCCACAATATGGAAAAGCCTTTCGTTTGCAGAGGAAGATTATGCTCTAATAGCTGCTGTCAAAAATGTCAAGAGAGCTCATGCCAGAGTGACATCACCTCAGATGAGCCTCAAGCAGATGCCTCAACAGCTGTTCTAGATTAGAAAAAGACGTTGTTCTAATAGAGGACAACAATTTATATACATCACTGTCCCATGGCTTTCCAGTAGGACAAGATATGGAGGAGGAGGATGGTGACTCTAATGTTCCAGGCCTCCCTTGGACTGAGGCTAAAGTTTTTCTATAAGTACTGATAAATTAGACATCTTTTAGTGTTTTTTGTAGATTTATTTTTATCTCCTCTCTCCTTCCTGGTCTCTGTGTGTGCGTGCGTGTGTGTATGTGCGTGTGTGTGTGTGCGCGCACGTGCATGCGCACTCGTGTGTGTGTGTGTGTGTGTGTGTGTGTGTGTGTGTGTGTGTGTGTCTGTTATAAGTACAGGGAGGCTGTGAGAAGAGAGACCTGGACTTTGAGTTACACGGGTTGTCAGCCGCATAAAGTGAGTACTGGGAATTGAACTGGGGTCCTTTGGAATGTAGCAAGGCTCTTAACCACTGAGAATATTTTCCAGTCCTTATTTAATGATTGCTAATGAAAACAATTAAGTGAGTCACTTAATGGTTGGCAGGTTTTAATTTTGGCCATTCAGTAAGACACTTTGATGGCTCATGTGAGAAACATGTTCTCTCCATTTAATTTGATGTTGGCTATAAGCTTTCTGTAAATTGCCTTTGTTATGATTAGGTATGTCCATAGTTTTCCTAGTCTCTCTAGGACTTTTATCATGAAGGGCTGCTGGATTCTGTTAAAGGCTTTTTTTGTTGGCATCTAATGAGATGATCATATGGTTTTCTCTTCAAGTTTATTTATATGGTGGGTTATATTACTGACTTTTGTATATTGAACCATCCCTACATTTTTGGGATGAAACTTTCTTGATTGTAGTTGATCTTTTTATGTGCTCTTGGATTCAGTTTGCAAGTACTTCACTGAGTTATTTTACACCTATATTCATAAGGGAAATTGGTCTGTAATTCTCCTCCTTTGTTGAGTCTTTATATAACTTGGATATCAGAGTATGTGGCATCATAAAATTAATTGGAGAATATTCTTTCTGTTTCTGTTTTGTCAGTAATTTGAGGAGTATTATTGTTAACTCTTCCTTGAAAGTTGTTTAGAATTCTTTGCTAAAATCATCTGGCCTTGGGTTTTTTTGGGTGGAGACTTTTAAGGCTTGCTTCTATTTCACTAGGGGTTGTATTTGT